AAAACAATTTTTTTTTTTCAAAATTTTCGAAATTTTTTTTTTCATTAAAAGGCAGTTTAATTGAGAAAAGGCCTAATAAATAAATTCCTTGTTTAAGTAACTATAAAGATCGATCAGTTTTTCAATTCGATTGACTGAGAAGCGGAGAGATAATTTTAAGTAAGACTTAATCATACATTTTTTTTGAATCCAAGTTAAAAAACTACTTTTTCTTTCAGATTTATGGAAACAAATCAACCAGGCATCAAATTTGCCTAAATATCTGGAACATCCTGTACCTCGATTGCTAAAAAGGAAATCAGAACTGTCATCAATTCAATTCTTATTTCATTTAACCTAGCTCAAAATAACGCAATATCAGCTGAATGCCTCAAAGTTACTTCAATAGCAGCAAAATCAATTAAAAGTTTTTCTTTTAAGCTTCTAAAGAAGAATTAGGGTTCTTCTGAATTTTTCACGTTTAATTTTTGAAGCATAGCAAAAGCACTCAAATCTTCTTCAAATTCTATTCGTTATTTCTCATCATCTGTGCTATTTCTTCTATCTAGCTTCCAAATTCTTTCTGATCTAGGCGTAAGCCTTACAAATCTATTTGTAATTTTTCACCATCATTTGAGCCATATCGTCGGTTAAACCGTGTTTCTTCATACCATGAGCCTTCAGTGCGTCTTTTCTGCTCGTATTGTAATCACAAATGTGACATTTGTACAAAATATTCCCATGTACAGACTCAAAATGTCGGTTGGCAGTGTAAGTTTTCGTAAATTTCTTCTGGCATAAGGGGCAAAGCAGATTTCCAAGACCATCTTTTCCGAAAGTTACTGAGCCGGTAGATCCTGCCATCTGATTGGTCAACGAGTTTGCTACATCTTGCCTCATTTTGGATTGCGTGTTTGAATTCAACTTAACGTTTGCTTTTTTAATTGGAAAAACAATTTGACCTTGTCGATTAGACTCCAATGACCTTTTGGGAGCAACGGAACTGTTTGGCGTCCATATATCGTAATTCAAGAATATCTGACCAAGGTGTTGCTCTTTTAGGCTATCTGTAATTATAAAAGATGACTCTTTCAATTTTCCCGAAATAAATTGCAAGGCTTTCTCAAAAAGTTGAACAGTTATTGAAAATGCTTCAAAAGGGGTTTCCATTTTTGTCAGTTTCTCATAGAATCAAAGTCTTCTCTGAAAAAAAAGATGTCTGAAACACCAAAGTTATAACTCACCTTCACTTAAATTGATCACTTATGCTGAAAGGTTCTTATAGTAACTACATATCAATCGACAAAATCTGAAGTTAACGTTACAGATAACAACCATTAATAATAAACTCAATTTAAAATAAACTCAGACTCCGACTGCATTTTTCTATCTGAACATTTTTTGTCACTTAATTTCGCTCCTAACATAAACTAAAATGTTCAATTTCCTTCTAATTGTTTTGATGTGTGTGTGATTCATTTGTTCGTTTCTCTTGCTTTTAATGTTTTATAAAGCTTCCTTGTTTTATTCCGAACTTTCCGGCTGAGTAGTACTTTTCTGGTATTGTTTCTTACTTTTTTTATCATTATATTTCATTTTTGACCATCATTCTGGCCATTACTTCAGTTAAGCCATGCTTTTTCATACCATGAGCTTTCAAGGAGTCTTTTCTGTTAGTGTTATAATCACATATGTGACATTTGAATAAAATATTTCCATGTGATGATGCGAAATGTCTGTTTGCGTTGCCAGCATTTGTGAACTTCTTCTGGCACAGCGGGCAAATTACGTTTCCAAGACCATCGTTGCCGAAAGTAACTGAGCCGACAGATCCTGAACTCTGATTGGTCAATGAATTCGATACTTGTCCGATTGGTTTCGGCTGTGCGGCTGTTTTAGATCTAACGTTCAACTTCTTCGGCTGAGGTAAAAATTGGTTATGGCTAAACTCAAGTTTTCGTTTTGAAGCCATAACAGAACCAGAAGCTTCAGGAAAATTCCTCGGTATCCAGACATCCGGGCTCAAGTAGATCTGACCAATCTGCTTTTCCTTCAACGAGTCTGTTATAAGGAAAGGTGAAAAAGTTAAGTTGTTTGGAAGCGATTGCAAAGCCTCTTCGAAAAGTTGGACAGTCATTGTTACAGATTCCATGCAATTTTCCATAATTTCGAAGACTTCCAAGAATCGAGTCTGAAAAAAGCTAGATTTTGATGAAAACTAGTGTAGAATAATTGTCCGATCACGCATTCTAGTTAACTATTTCCACTACTGCGAAAGGGGGATAATTCTTTACAATCCACAAGTTTCGCATCGACTAATTCGCTAAAATAGTCCCTTATAGGGGGTGGTAATTCGTTTTAAAGTAACCTAGGGGGGGGGGGTGTCGAATAATTAACAAGATCCCTGAAAAGACGTTGGAAGAACTTTGAACCGGTTTTTTAAAATATGAAACTAGAGCTCAAAATCCGGCAGCGGTCTAATTTTGTTTCTACTTCAGCAGTTGACTCTGTAGAGAGGGTCAAAACTAATCACAGATTACGAGATCCACAGAATAGATATCGACTATGGAAATTTTTATGTGGTAAAATAAGCGTACAGATTTTGTTCTATTTATTGTGCGTTGTCCTCATTTGGAGTTCAAATCTCTGAACTTTGATCCGAAACCCAGGGGAGGATTTAAGGGGGTCGACCCCCTGCCGACCCGATGGGTGCCCCTTTGTACTGCTTTGAGATATCCATTTTTGGTGATGGGCCCTAAAAATTTTCTAAAGGCGTTTTGGCGCCAATATATACTAACTTGAGGGGGGAGCGCGCGCCAAAAAACGCAATTTTTTGGCCTGTTTTTTCAAAATTTTGCCCGCGGCCGAGAAAATTTGGTCAAAATGGGTTCTTTATAGTGATGTAGGAGAGCTCAGAAAATCAATTTGGTCGACTTAAAAAAAAGGTCAACAAAATTGTCTTTTATTTTTTGAAAATCTGAACCCCCCTCGAGAAAATCTTAGATCCGAACCTGCTAAAGGCAGTGGGCGCATCTAGGATTTTCTTGAGGGAGGGGGGCGGATTGTCAAAAAAATTTTAAAAATTTTGTCCGCCTTTTTTTAGGTCAACTGATTAGACTTTCTTGACAAAAAAATTTACGCCGCAGGCAAATTTTTGAATAAACAGGTTAAAAATACAGTTTTTGGGCCCCTTTCTGCGCGCGCTCCCCTTCAAAATTAGTATAGGCGCCTTAAGAAACAATTTATGGATGGTCGGCCGAAAATGGATGTCATCACATATTGCCCATCTATCCTTTGGTTACCAGGGGAATGCGTTACCAGGGGTGGGGGGATTTGAGTAGTACTAATTTACTGCTTTTATTGGATCAAGTTAACTTGATCCAATAAAAGCAGTAAATTAGCACTAGAGCGTTTATTTTTAAATCGAATTTTACTGCATTCTGATTTGTCAAAAAATCGACTAAATTGGTCTACTTTAGAATTACCCCCTTTCTTGAAGTGTGGTGATTGTTAAATAGATCCAATTACGCGGAGGTCATCATTATTTTGTGCCCGAGTTGAAGATGGCCCGAGATTAATAAAGATTATTTCGAGCTCTGCTAATTTAAAACAGCTCAAAGCAACGTGAAAACGGCCTTCACCCAAAAATTAGACGACATTTTGGGTTCTTTTTCATTTGAGAAAACAGGCAGGAATATTTGTCTGCCAGTGAACTGTTGCTACAGATATTGAAAGAAATTCATTGCTTAAAGGTGAATTCCTCATGTCAGACGTACCAAAGGATAGAAGGTTAAATTAGCCAATCAGAAATCACTATTCGAAAATCTGATTGCTTGAGATCTGAAATCGTGGCAATCGGATCGAGTCTGAATTAATGAATATCTAAATATTCGTCTTGTTAACCAAAACTCCCCACCCCCCGAAATTTGCCGCATTGCAAGAGAGGGGAATGCGTTACCAGGTACAAAATTCGCTGGTTACTTAAACGTCGAGTTTTTTTTAAAGGGTGGCAACTGTTTACTAGGTTATACCCCCCTCCAAATGATAAAAAATGAAAATGAAATTTTTTCCAATAAAGTTTGACTGATTTTCCTTAAAAATGCAGGGCTGATATCCCTAGCGTTAAATCAACCTAGAAACTGGGAAAAATGCGAACTTAACAACAATTAAAAACGCATTTAGCATCCTTTTAACGAAATTTATGCTCAAAAAATTGGCGAAAAATGGAGAAAAAAGTCATTTTGAGGCTCAATCACCTAAAAATGATTCGTATTTACCAGTCCCATAATATTGTAGCAGGGGCGGATCTAGGATTTTCTCGATTTCTCGAGGGGGGGGGGCGGATTTTCAAAAAAATTTCCAAAATTTTGACGACCTTTTTTTTTTTTTTTAGGTCGACCGAATTGTTTTTTCGTGCTCTCCCAAAGCACTGTTTTGCCCCTATTTTGGCCAAATTTTCTGCGCCGCAGGCAAATTTAAAAAAAAAACAGTCAAAAAAGCCGTTTTTGGGCACTTTTTGAAAAATTTTGACAAAAAAATCGCGTTTTTTTTTGGCGCGCGCTCCCCTACAAGTTAGTATATATTGGCGCCGAAGGCGCCTTTAGAAAAATTTAAGGGTCGGTTGGCCAGAAATGGATTTCTGAAAAAGTATCAAAGGGGGGACCCTTTGGGTTGGCAGGGGGTCGAATCCCTGAGGGGGGGCGTCCGCCCCCCCCCCCCTAAATCCGCCCCTGTATTGTAGTGCATTTCCTACTAACAGTGTCCCAATTATATAATAAAAATTTTCATTTCATTTTTTCATAATTTAGGGGGGTGTAACCGAAAAGACCCGGTACCATAAATGGAGACGGGATAGTTAACATAAGATCCCAAAGATTTATAGGCGTCAGAAAATTCGGCCATTCAGACCTTCTACAATGAGAGTAGACGTCAAATGCCTTGTGTTGTGTTGTTTCCCATTCATTGTAACTTCAGTGCAAAATTCAATGGTTCCTTTTGACTGCGTATTTAGCACTACAGAAAACGAAGAGATTTCAATACTCCATATAAACGCATAGTCCCACGGTCAAACTGCACTGGTGGAGATATACCATTGCAATTGAATTGAACTTAAGCAGCGACAGAATTCTAGCCAACGACCTAGTTTCTTCATTGATAAATTCACCTTCATATTTGCACAACTAGCTCGGTAAAATAGCTGGTTTCCAAATAATTTGCCGCAACCCTAAAGTGGTTCCCTTCTGAGCTCATCAAAATGTAAGTTTACAACAATTCGTTTCGATTAAGGATGCTAAAATAGGGGCGGATTTAGGGGAGGGTAGCTGAAATGATTATTTTGCATCAGATCCGCCTCTGATGCAAAATAAGCAACTTTTTTGGAGCTGATGATTTAACACACTGCAGAAAAACTACATGTAAGAGATACGCAATGCATTTTTTTAGTGGGTATTGACAAGAGCGCTAATTGACGGTGTATCAACTAGCATAAAGCTCGACTAGTATAAAAGTTCTAAAATTGAAAATCGTATCGACTAGCATGGAAATCGAAACACAAAGGGTCTTTTTTGTTATACGGCCTAAAAACCATTCATTTTGCTTAAGTGAAAGTTTGATTATAAAGCTCGAATCCGATTGGTTGAAGAAGTTATAATCGAAAACAGAAAGTTATCTCAGTGTTTTCAATACAAACAAGTCTAATTGACAAGTTAAATAATTTGGGTCGATGGGTATTCACAAGTACAAAATGATAAACCAGTCCTATTTGCAACAAAATAATAAATCAATCGCGTTAGTACCAAAAGTTTTCAACTGGCCAAAGACTACTCAGCCGACTATTTTAAACTCGTGGTTTAAGGTCGCCGGTGGGCGCTCTATGCGCGCGTCGCCGCTTTGCGGCGATAACCGGCTCTAAATTTCGTATAGGGTCCTACCCTCTGTTGACAAGCTGGCAACACGTTGGCGCGACTGCGGCGGTGACTATTTTGATGTTTAGTTTTCATCTGCTTTACCAGTAGAAAACTAATGTAATAAATCGTTGGCTCACAATTCGACTAATCAGAAATCGAGTTAAATAATTTTGGTACAAATGGGACCGGTTTTTCATTTTGGTACAAATGAACCTTGGTACGAACTGAATTTCACCATTTGGGCCGCACAACAGAAAAGACTCAAAACAAATATCAAACATTGTCAAAATTATAATTTTCTTGCACAAAAACATTTATAAGTTCTAGTTTTATTTAAGTTCCATTTCACAATTTGCGTGGCACTCAGTGTTCGGTTCAAACCATTGGATGTGGGGTATGTGACTGAATTTCATGATACATGTTTTTGTCAAACCGGACCTAACATTATCCAAAATGATACATGTTTTTTTGTTTTCAAACCAGACCTAACACTAGCCAAAATGATGCATGTTCTTTTCAAACCGGACCTAACACTAGCCAAAATGATACATACTTTTTTCAAACCGGACCTAACACTATCCAAAATGATACATGTTTTTTTTGTTTCCAAACGGGATCTAACACTTACCAAAATTATACATGTTTTTTTAAACTGGACCTAACACAAGCCAAAATGATACACTTTTTTCAAACCGGACCTAACACTATCTAAAATTCCTGAATTGCACCGTATCCGTTGCAATTTTTAATTGCTGCAAAATATTGGTTACGGCGGCTCGATAGTGCGATTCTTTTTTAGTAAAAAGTTACTAATCATTGCCATGTAATCAACACCAAACATAATCGAACTTCATTCTGACATTTTACCGATATCACCAAATTTTCAGAAAAAAAACAAACATTGTCTTCATAAAATAATATTTAGCTTACTATGTGATACCCTAGAAACCATTAAAAATGCAAGTCATGGTTAGATACCAATTCTGTTAACCCCTACCAAATGTACGAAATCAAAACTCCAACCGACCGTAAAACCTATCATACTTCTTGCTATCTTCGATTTTAAATTGGTTTTTTGACAAAATTTATGAAATCCTTTATAAATCTATGGATTATAATATACAATCGTTTACAGCAACAAAAATAGAAAAACACGAAATTCACTCTATAGCCCATTCTTGGTTATAACCCAGTGAGTAGCTGGTTGCTCTGCAAATAGCTCAGAGAAACTCAACTTTATTCATAAAAGTTTTTTTAAAAGTTTTTTTAAACTGTGCTGTTTCTATGCGTAGTAGGATAAGAAGAAAGCTTAGAGCGTTGATGAAGTAAATTATAATCGTTCACAGTTATTTCATAAAATAAAAAAATAAACCAAAAAAACGTAAAGAAAAAACATTTTAGATAAAACAAACAATTCCAAAAAAATCATGTTTTTGCAGATTTTTTTTGCATATTTTATTGGCAAGGAAGCGCGATACGAGGCTTCAACAACTTTTTTTTCCAGACAAAAAAAAATAATCCTTTTTACGAAAAAAATGAAAACTTCTGATTAATTCGCCTACTCGCTCGAATGTGAGCTTAGAGCAAGTTGTTTCGAACTGTTTTTTGGAATCTTGAGAATATATTGTTGATTTTTGAAAAAATCGTTTGAACTTCGACTGCAAGTGTTTTACTTAACATATCGTTTGACCTATTCCGATAATTATTAGTGATACCTGATTTTTTGTGGGGAAAAAAACACATGAAACATACCCGAAGGCATAGATTTTCCCCTTAATTAGTGGTTTAAAAAAGTACAGCCGACAGTAGCAAGTAGCACAGAAAGTTTCTACTCTTCAAACAAACTTAAACAACAATTTTGTTGTTTATGCGTGGTGGTATGAGAACAACTAGATAAAAGCTTGGACGCTCATTCAAACAGGCAGAATTGATAACAGTCATCTCCGAAAAAAGAAATAATAATAAAAATAGACAAAAAAGTTCTAAAGAATCGATTATCATATTTTACATCAAGCCAATTACCTCGTTATATGGTCGCCGGAGGACGTGTGGTGATAACCGTCTCCATTTTTGTGAAGAGCCCTATCCTCTCTTGACAAGGTTGCAGCTTAATTGGCCCACTGTGGCTGTCTCTTTGATGAGACAATTTTGATTAGACAATTTGAACAATTCACAATTAGTTTAACTTTTTATAGGCTCAAATATTGAATCAAAGACCGATTTGAATAACTTTGATAAAACGCGACCATTTTTGAACAAACGGACGTTTGTACTAACGGAACTGGATCTACTTAACAATCTCCCCCCCCCCCCTATGATACCTACTTAAGAATCTCCCCCCTTTCTTGAAAGGGGTGGAGATTGTTAAGTAGATCCACGGAACTTTACCGTTTTTGCTCGATCCTACTATTACATACTGCGTGGCAAAAAAGAAACTTTTTATTTAAGTTAATGCAATTTTTAAATTTTTTGTCTTCAAAGAGGAAAAAAGAGTATAATAAAAGTGTTCCTGGCCATAGCTTAAACAAGACTGCTCGTATCAGGGCGAAGCCCTGAATGTTCCGACTGCTTTTTAAGGTTTATGGAGCAGCAGTAATAACATAAAAAATTAAATGAAATAAAATAAAATTAAAATTTTTTTTCCAAAAGTTGAAATTTTTTATGAAAATCATCCCCCCACACGCCATATAAAGTACAACAAGACTGCTCGTATCAGGGCGAAGCCCTGAATGTTCCGACTGCTTTTGAAGGTTTATGGAGCAGCAGTAATAACACAAAAACCATATATGAAATAAAATAAAATGAAATTTTTTTTTCTAAAATTTGAAATTTTTTATGAAAATCATCCCCCCACACGCCATATAACGTACAAAAAGATAGTTTTCGTTCCTTGTAACAATTAAATTATGGCAAATAAGCTTCGTTCAACCAATTTGGAACGATTTATATGACGGATTAACTCTCCGCTTACGCGTTAATAGCGCGAAATATATCGCGCGTTAATTGTCCCAAAATTGGTCAAAATGGCAATCTTTAAACTCTCATAACTTTACTAAAAATGATCACAGGTAAATTATCTTTTCAAATTTAAGTTCAAGACAACAATGGCTTTCGAATGATAAAAAAAAATTCCGTCGAAAATGGCTAGTTAAAAAGTCGAAATTTTTCTGAAGAAAAAAAAACCCACCCCGAGCACAAATATTCCGTTACTTTCGTATCGAAAGTCGGAACAATTACACAAAATAATTCAGTTGCATTATTTAGAGATAAATGCAAAATTGCACTTCGCACACATCAGAGTTAAAGCTGGTTAAAGCTGGAGTTAAAGCTGGTTAAAAAGGTCGTCAAAATTTTCGATTTTTTTTTGAAAATCCGCCCCCCCCTCGAGAAAATCCTAGATCCGCCCCTGGTTGAAACCAAGTTTTCGAATGTTTTCACAACTCATTTTTGTACTCATTTTATACTTGTGACTTGTGAGTTTCTATCATACGTGATTTTTTTCTCGTCTAGTAACGCCTTAAAAAGAAGGCTTGCCTATCACAAAAGTATTTTATCGCTGATAGTGAACGATTTAAAAATTTCTTCTAAGGCGGTTTTTTGGATAGATCGAACTATATCTTATCAAAATATATGTTACTCTAAAACGAGATCCAAAATTCCTGAAATTTACCAAATCTGGTGCAACTTATAATTGCTGCAAGTTGTTGGTTATGGTTGCTCGATAGTGCGAATCGCTTTTAAGTAAAATGTTACTATAATCTTGCAATTTTATCAACTTTAAACATAAACAAATTTCGTTCTGACATTTTAACAGTTTCGCCATTTTATTCATGCTAAATTTTCAGAAAAGTAAACAACGAAATTTGACTTCAGAAAACCATAATTAGCTTACTTTGTGATACACTAGAAACCATTTAAAAAACCCTTCATGGTTAGGTACCAATTATGTTAACCCCTGCCGAAGAAACGAAATCATTGGCCATGAATTTTACTTTAATAAAGCCATGAATTTTACTGAAAAACATTTGCTTTCAGCAAAAAAAAAACAGCTTCAAAAGCTACAAATAAAACAGCTTCAAAACAGCTACAAAAAGTGAGAAGCTGTTTGCTCTGCAAATAGCTTTAAAAAATCCGACCACATTCATAAGATCTTTGTGAAAACATTTTTTTTCAAAACTGTGCCGTTTCTATGCGAAGGATTTGAAAAAAAAAAGCCTAGAGCGTTGATGAAATAAATTATAATCGTTCACATTTGTCTTCATGAAATAAATAAAAACACAAAAACAGTGAAAAAAAAAGTGTTTTCAGATAAAACGAACAATTCAACAACTTCTATATTTTTGCAGTTTTCTCTTTGATTTTTTTGCAAATTTTATTGCGAAGGAAGGGCTATTCGAGGTTTCAGGAATTTGTTTTCACGACAAAAAAGTAAGATTTTTGGAAAAAATCAAAACCTTTCCCATTAATAAGCTTACTAGCTCGAACATGAGCTTAAAGCAGTTTTTTAAACCGTTTCTTGCAACCTTGAGAAAAGTTATTTTAATTTTTAAAAATGTCGTTCGAACCACGACTGCAAGTTTTTCACTATAACATATAGTTTGACCTATCCTGATGATTATTAGTGATTCTTGATTTTTTGTATGAAAAAAAAGTAAAACATGATTCATACACGAAGGAATATATATTTCCTAAATTCAGTGGTTTCCACAAGTAGCACGTAACAAGCAGTAACAAGTAGCACTGAAAGCTCCTACCCTCCAAATAAAGCTTAAAAAGCAATTCTGTCGTTTATGCTTGGTTGTATGAGAGAAACTAGACAAAATCTTGGATACTCATTAAGTTAAGCAGAATCGACTAGTATTTTCCGAAAATTTTCTTTTTATTTGCAGTTTTTTTTTAATTTTCTCAGAGGTCAGAACAACTCTCGATAAGCTTACTAAGTAAAAAAAATCGCTGAAAAATATTGTGAAATTCATCGGAAAATCAGTTCACAGAAAATGGGCGTAGATTTGCTTTTTTGCTCTTAATAACCTTTCTCCATAAATGGAAAAAAATGTTATACTTCGGTCTAACTCAGAAAGTCTGTTTTACCAGTCCGCTTGTCGAACAAAAAAAACCATGGGTAATCACAAAAGTGAAGCTGCTTTTCGCAAAAGCTAGCGAGGAAACTAAAAAACAACAACTTTAAGAAGTGAAATAAGAAACAAAAGGTTAAAAAAGCCTTGAAAATCAAACCGTTTGCTGTGGCGGATTCGATGACCAACTCTTTCGACCGACTTGACCCAATCTAGCTACGTTTCGACCAACTTTTTTAAGGGTAAAAGGTGTTCGACAGTATTCAATCCAAGTGAGCTATGTTTCGACCGACTGGACTGAAAATAAAATGTGTTCGACCCAAGCGAGTTATGTTTCGACCGACTCGACTACAGAAAATTTTGTTCGACTGTATTCGACCCAAGCGTGACACATTTCGACTGACTCGATCAGTATAGTGTAAGCAATTCAAAAAAATGATAAATTTTTTTTTTACCATCAACTAGTTTATTAAGTTGAATATTTTTGTATCTGACATGGTCAAAATGTATTTTTTGATCAGATTTTCTAATTTGGATGTCGAAAAAAATCTGAAATTTTTATTCGGTCCATCAAAATTTCCTAATTAGATTTTTTAAGCAAAACATTGTTTCTCAGACTTTTGTCTAAGATCATCTGTGGACCATTTTTTAAGTTTGACTATGTTTCGAAACTGTGTTCGACCATGTTTCGACCAAAATTTGTGTTCGATTATGTTTCGACCACGCACTGTTATTGACTTTTTGTTCGACTATGTTTCGACCACACTTTGTGTTCGACAATATTTCGACCATATTTTGTTCGACCATGAATCGAAATAGCGTTTGACTATAATTTGACCATGTTTTGGCCAATATTTCGAAGTTTTGTTCGTCCGAAAGGGCAGGGCAGTTTTCGACCGAGTATTTTGGATCAAACAGCATCCGTGTGTTCGATCGAATTCGGTCGAAACATAAGTCGAACACCTCAACCCGGGTTATCACTAAATGAATGTCAAAGCACATGCTATTTAAAAGCTGTAAAGGTGGTGTAAATATTGGTGCCTCCAAAAGTGGCACCAATATTTTCGAGCTAGGTTGGGAAAAAAAGAATAGTCGCACTCGCATTATTACACAGCGCTCGATGAAGCTCGCAGTGTAAATACTTTGTATTGACAGACTTACATTGCTAAATCTGTAAAAACGTGAAAAAGTGCCATCGTTCTTTTCAGATTTATTTTTTGATCATCTTTGTCTAGAAAACGAACGAGCGTTTAGAATGTTTCAATGTTTATAGCTGAAAATTCATGCAAAAAGAAAAATAAACAAGGTAATCACTCCTGTCCAAAAATTTTGTCAGCCAATCAAAATTCGGTCAAAAATTTGTAAGAAATAGCGATAAAAATAGTCATGTAAGACAGTTAGTTTAATAAAAGGAGTTGAGTGTTTTCGCGCATTCTTTCTGTCACGGAGAATTGCAAATTACGTAGTTTGAATTACGTCATTGCTTTATTCAGCGCGTTAGTTGTTAAAAAAGCGTCTTAAAACTATGAAAGAATTTGACTAGATTTTAGTAAACAGATAACGTCAATTGTTTAGTCACAGAATATATTCGATCAACGCATACAAAAACAAAAGCAACTACAACACATACTGAGGTTATTATTCGCGCCGTGACACAAGCATGGACTCGCATAACGAGAAAAGTGGTGGACCCCCTGTTGACCAGTTCAATTCTGTAACAGGGTACCCCCCGCAAGCACCAGGCTATTACTCCCAACAACAACAGCACCAAGGAGGAGACTACCAACAACCACCGCCATACCCCTCACATCGTAAGTTAAGAAAGTCGCAAAAGTTGATTAAAAAGTAGTTTAATTAGAATCTAGGTTAGATTTAATAATTATTGTACGAGCCGCCGCTTAACTTTTTTTAAAAGATTAAATCAGGGACTGCTCGTGCCAAGAAAAAGCCATGGATGTTTCTTTTTGGCAACGTTTGTTTTGGGCGACAGAAAAAATGATTAAGAATTTTTATCCTACAGCAGTAGTAAAAATACTAAACGACGTTGAGTGCTTCCATAACGCACATTACGAGGCCATTTTGTTCACTGGAAACCAGAGACAAGTCTTTGAAATTGGTGCGTGGTAAACAAAACGACAAGATATTACGACGACATGACACTAAGACAACATGTAAATTGAACTCTCTGAATTTGAGATTTCTATTTCTGAAACACAATTGGAGACTTCGTATGTTGCGTCGTCTTAAAGTCTCATCAAAAGCGGTTGTCGTCTTAACAGCTTTCGAAAGGGTGGCGTGTCACGGAGCCGAATACCCGGATAGCCGAAAAATAAATTCGTTCCCGGATAGCCGAAAAATAAACTCGTTCCCGGATAGCCCAAAAATAAGTCCATATTTTCTCCCCCTTAAATCAATTTGCGGAGGAAACTGTACGGTTCATCCGATCTAGGATTTGCTCGAGGGGATGGCGTGACAAATGTTTTTTAAAAAGCAGGCCAAAAATGCCGTTTTTAAGACTTTGAAAAAATTTCACCAAAAACTGCCCCTTTAAACTTAGTATATATTGAAAAATTTTAGGGTTTGTCGGCCGAGAGGGAGGGACCCTTTGGTTGGTGAGTGGGTCGAATCCCTGTAGTAGTCGGACTTTTGTTGTTATTTAATTCAATGAGAGTAAAAGAATTAGCCAATCAAATCTCTTAAAATTGTTCGGAATTTTGTTAGGTATCAAGCTGCAAAATTTTGAAGACTTTTTTTGTCCAATCAAAATGCGTCTCAATTTAGTGAAGAGTTTTCTAATTTAATTTAATTAAAACTGGGAAGTTTAGTTTTTTCGGCTATCCGGGAATGCGGCTCCGTGGGTACGCACAGTCTTAATTACCGGACGCCTTTGAACCTGTGCCGAATTGTATTTGGATTCCACTGTAGATCCGCGCAAAAATACTTCGTAACGTGAAATTTCTTGGCACAATAACTGTGTCACAGATTCCTCAATGAGCGATTACATCAAGTTTTTTTCTGGATTCCGCAAATATAAGCAGGTTTCGCAAACAGTAAGCGGATTCCACATATTGTGAGCAAATTCCGCAAGTTGTAAGCTGATTCCGCAAATAGTAAGCGCGAAAACCGGAAATTAAAGTGGATGAAACTGTTCTGAATTCTGCTAATTTGCAAATTCGGCAGCTTTAGAGCGATAGTTTTTTTTAGCTGTTTGCTCGTGAAATCCAAAAAAAGCTAAAACAACCGTGTCGCCTAAACCGCGTTCAATTCACAAACTACACAATTTGGGCTCGTAATGCACTGCTTAAACCGATCGGATAATATATGTAGAAATTTATTGTTCCGACTTTCGATGATAAAATTTGTTCTAAATGCGCAAAACGAGGCCATTTTGGTAAAGCGTGTTGCTCAGTAAACGTTAATTATCTGGGAGACTAGCAATGAAGAAGATCAAGATGAAAGCGAATCAGAGAGTCGAGGAACTTAACTCGACCCAGTCGCGTTTGCTGACTTTACAGCAAAAAATGGTTGGGAGAAGTATCACGTCGATAATTTTTCAGTAATGTTAATATCAGAAGCATTCGAAATCAAGCAGGCAAGAAGATGAAGAGGATTTAAATGGACACATCATTAAACTGAAGACAAAAACAGAAGACTTATTTGACATCGCTAACTCCAGGAGTCCAATGTCGTTCCTAAACGAAAAAACCGCTCGGCGGTTACAAAAAATTGACCACTCCGTAATACTGAAACAAATTCCACCGGAAGACACGGCTCGGAACTTAGCATGTTACAATGGCGAAACTATTGTCCCAAAGCGAAGGCTGATAGTTACGATTGAATCAGGAGGATGGAAAATAAAAGCTGCTCCATTCATCATTATAGATAACCAAAAAGCAAACATCATAGGCAGAAACAACCTCCCACATATTGGAAAAAGATTAAAACAGGAAAAACCAAAACAAGGGAACGTACTGAATATACGTGAAAAAGAACAATCAAACCCAGAAATCAAACAATGGGTAAAAGATAACTATCCACAATTATGCATTCGTGTGGGAAAGTCAAAAAAGTACGTAATGCGGACTCAATTCAATAAAGAATTTGTTCCGGTACAACAGAAAGTACGCCGTGTCCCGGTGCACCTACAAGAACGAGTAGAAAAAGACCTCAACAAGCTCATGGATCAAAAACACATTATAAAACTGGATAAATGTTCCGATCGACAATTCATTAGTCCAATCGTGATTACAGTAAAAAAAGACCAGACGGTGAAATTGGTGTTGGACTCAAAGAAGATAAATAAATTTATTCATAAGAATAAATACCAAATGCATAACATCGATCTACTATTAGACAACATAGCACAGGTAGCTCAATCAAACAACAGTCAACAAACTCTATTCTCAACACTGGACTTGCGTTACACGTATTCACAAATCCCGTTAGACAAATCAACTCGGGAACAATGCAACTTCAGTTTAATCGGTGGCAACGCTACAGGAACCTACCAATTCAAAACTGGATTTTACGGCCTCACGGATATACCGGCCGAATTTCAAAAGGCCATCGATCTCACACTTACAAATTGCTCAAACACCTACGCATATTTAGACGACATTGATTGTGACCAAGGGGTCAATCGATATACACAAACAAAAACTACAAACGATTCTGGAAAAGTTAGATGGTGAAATTCTCGCCATATCATTGGACAAATTTAAGTTTGCGTGTAAACAAGTTGAGTGGCTAGGGTACACTTTTAATAGCGAGGGCACTACACCTTTTATAAGAAAAACAGAGGCAATAGAGAAGCTATCCCCTCCAAAAACATTCAAACAACTTAAAAATTTTATGGGGTCTACACCACCTCACCAGGTATATCCCAAACTTAGCATAAACAGCAGCAGCATTGAGGCCACTATTGAAAAACACCCTGAAAAATAAACCAATTAACTGGAAACCGCAACACAATACATCATTTGAGAACATTAAAAGATTGTTCACTGGAAACCAGAGACAAGTCTTTGAAATTGGTGCGTGGTAAACAAAACGACAAGATATTACGACGACATGACACTAAGACAACATGTAAATTGAACTCTCTGAATTTGAGATTTCTATTTCTGAAACACAATTGGAGACTTCGTATGTTGCGTCATCTTAAAGTCTCATCAAAAGCGGTTGTCGTCTTAACAGCTTTCGAAAGGGTGGCGTGTCACGGAGCCGAATACCCGGATAGCCGAAAAATAAAATCGTTCCCGGATAGCCCAAAAATAAGTCCATATTTTCTCCTCCTTAAATCAATTTGCGGAGGAAACTGTACGGTTCATCCGATCTAGGATTTGCTCGAGGGGATGGTGTGACAAATGTTTTTTAAAAAGCAGGCCAAAAATGCCGTTTTTAAGACTTTGAAAAAATTTCACCAAAAACTGCGTTTTTCAGTGCGTGCTCCCCTTTAAACTTAGTATATATTGAAAAATTTTAGGGTTTGTCGGCCGAGAGGGAGGGACCCTTTGGTTGGTGAGTGGGTCGAATCCCTGTAGTAGTCGGACTTTTGTTGTTATTTAATTCAATGAGAGTAAAAGAATTAGCCAATCAAATCTCTTAAAATTGTTCGGAATTTTGTTAGGTATCAAGCTGCAAAATTTTGAAGACTTTTTTTGTCCAATCAAAATGCGTCTCAATTTAGTGAAGAGTTTTCTAATTTAATTTAATTAAAACTGGGAAGTTTAGTTTTTTCGGCTATCCGGGAATGCGGCTCCGTGGGTACGCACAGTCTTAATTACCGGACGCCTTTGAACCTGTGCCGAATTGTATTTGGATTCCACTGTAGATCCGCGCAAAAATACTTCGTAAATTGAAATTTCTTGGCACAATAACTGTGTCACAGATTCCTCAACGAGCGACTATATCAAGTTTTTTTCTGGATTCCGCAAATATAAGCAGGTTCCGCAAACAGTAAGCGGATTCCACATATTGTGAGCAAATTCCGCAAGTTGTAAGCTGATTCCGCAAATAGTAAGCGCGAAAACCGGAAATTAAAGTGGACGAAACTGTTCTGAATTCTGCTAATTTGCAAATTCGGCAGCTTTAGAGCGATAGTTTTTTTTAGCTGTTTGCTCGTGAAATCCAAAAAAAAGCTAAAACAGCCGTGTCGCCTAAACCGCGTTCAATTCACAAACTACACAATTTGGGCTCGTAATGCACTGCTTAAACCGATCGGATAATATATGTAGAAATTTATTGTTCCGACTTTCGATACAAAAGTAACGGAATATTTGTGCTCGGGGTGGGTTTTTTTTTTCTTCAGACAAATTTCGACTTTTTAACTAGCCATTTTTGACGGAATTTTTTTTATCATTCGAAAGCCATTGTTGTCCTGAACTTAAATTTGAAAAGATATTTCATCTGTGATCATTTTTCATAAAGTTACGGGGGTTTAAAGGTTGCAATTTTGACCAATTTGGGACAATTAACGCGCGATATAATTCGCGCTATTAGCGCGTAAGCGCAGATTTAATCCGTCTTATAAATCGTTCCAAATTGGTTGAATGAAGCTTATTTGCCATAAATGGTTTGTTACTAGGAGCGAAACCTATCCTTTTGTACTTTATATGGCGTGTGGGGGGATGATTTTCATAAAAAATTTCAAATTTTGGAAAAAAAAATTTTCGTTGTATTTTATTTCATTTAATTTTTTAAGTTATTACTGCTGCTCCATAAACCTTAAAAGGCAGTCGGAACATTCAGGGCTTCGCCCTGATACGAACAGTCTTGTTTTATTTGTCAATAAGTGAATCTCCCGCAGCTTTTCTAAACAGTATTTTACTGAAAACATATATTTTTCGGTGGCTTTTAAATTCGTAAATTAAATTTACTTTTGTTTCTCAAAGAAACAATGGGAAATAAATTAACTATAAATAACAAACAAGACTGCTCGTATCAGGGCGAAGCCCTGAATGTTCCGACTGCCTTTTAAGGTTTATGGAGCAGTAATAACATAAAAAAATTCAATGAAATGAAACAAAATGAAAATTTTTTTTCTTCTAAAATTTGAATTTTTTTATGAAAATCATCCCCCCACACGCCACATAAAGTACAAAAGGATAGAATTTGCTCCTTGTAACAAACCATTTATGTAACAAACCAGCTTGTAACAAACCAGCTTCTTTTAACCAATTTGGAACGATTTCTAAGACGGATTAACTCTCCGCTTACGCGTTAATAGCGCGAATTATATCGCGCGTTAATTGTCCCAAATTGGCCAAAATGGCAATCTTTAAACCCCCGTAACTTTACGAAAAATGATCACAGGTGAAATATCTTTTCAAATTTGAGCTCAGGACAACAATACCTTTCTAATGATATAAAAAAATTCCGTCAAAAATGGCTAGTTAAAAAGTCGAAATTTGTCTGAAGAAAACAAAAAAACCCACCCCGAGCACAAATATTCCGTTACTTTCGTATCGAAAGTCGAAACAATTATACTGCGCAGTTTAAATTGATTGTTCCGACTTCCGATGAAAGTGAAGATTGCATATTTTAGGAGTGTTTGTTTCAATTCAGATTACTTTTACGAAAAAACGTTCTACCACTTCATGATAAATTTTTAAAACTTCAGTTTCCCAGGTGGTCGTGCTTGCACTAGCCGAACTGCGGTAAAAACGTCTCGTTTAATTAGTTATGGTTTCAATTCGCAAATTCGTTATGCGAGGTAAAAGAATTCAGCGCTCATAACCGGTCCAAATTGAATTGAGGCAAAATCGCCCATATTAATTCCGTATAAGACTCAGATACCACTTAATATTTGATATTGGCAACTCAAAATGTATAGTTTATCAAAATTTTTTAACAAAGACGAAGTTGTACTTCGTTCGCATACACAAGCAAAAATAGGACCGATAACGCTACTGGGAAAAACTGAATGAGTAAAACTTGAGTCTACAAAATTTCTCAAGTGAGTGCATAATTGCTAAGTGACGCAAGCCAATTATGACGCATTAACAGCATCAGTCGATTTGAAAAAAAAAGAAATTTACCAAATAACATGCCTCAATTTATAGAGAACATGCCTCAATTTATAGAGCGGACGCATTTGAACTAGTATGCGAAAAAACTCATTAAAACATCCGACCCTGCTCAGGTTCGAACCCTCTTATTTTGTTGCGGGTCTCTCCTTCCCTACTTCTACGCTACAGATCCATGATACCTTGAACGCTAAAGATCTATTTGTAATTAATAGTCTGTGTTAATATCCTTAGCATTGGCTGTACTTAATAGCTGGTTATTGATCAAAAAGACCACTTTCAAAATGAACACTTTTTGTCGCAACATTATTTGCGTCGCAACAATATATGCGACTTAGATTGGATAAAGAAGAGAGTTCATACTATCACACAAGCTTTGCTTGTGTAATTAGATAAAACTATTCGGGACCAGTTAACATTCAGGGTTTTGTCCTGATATACGAGCAGTCTTATTACTACAATTAAATTCTAGCTTTATTTTTGATTATTATAGTTTCCGGTCATTTCCTTGTTATTCTTATAGACATTCTATAAGCGCTTTCATCAAGTTAGTAGACATCTGATGAAAAAGCCTTCAAAATAGATAGTGATCTAAATTTTTAACACAGAGGCGGAGCTGAGCTTCGCATTACTTGCGATACAAATACGAATGTTATAAAAATCAAGGGAAAAAATTCAAAAAATTGTTTTTATCAAGAAAAATTGCAACGAAAGCCCAAAATTTCCGGAACAAAATTGCCTGCACCATGGGAATGAAGCTCTACAAAGAGCTCTGTGAATGCTATACAGAAGCGAAGTTTTCAAAAAAAGTCTTTTCCGCGGAACTAAGCATACAAAAATAAGCAGACAGACAAATCTAAATCAGCCAAAATTTTCTATTTGCGCGAAAAACAAGTATTAACTGGAATCGAACTCCCGGGAACTAAGATGACAAAAACAAATAGACGAACGCTATTCCGAAAAAGCGCAAAAGTTTTAGTGTGCAAAAAAAGGACCGGACGAATTCGAACCGCAGATCTTTGCATCTCCAGCAAATATTTCACCTCTACGCCAGATACGCCGGATCGTTGATTGGATTTGAATGATAATTACCAAGCGGTAACAAAGCCGAAAAAACCTGAGCTGAAACCCTTTATGCCTGAAAGAAAATCAGAAAAATTCTAAATTTTTCCCGTCAGAGTAAACACGCGCCTAAAAACTTTTTCCGACGTAACGATGCAATAAGAGGCCGGAAAAAGTTGAGCGGACAAACAGGACAAAAATGAAAAAAAAATGAAATTTTAACAAATCGAGCTGCTGAAATTACAGCCAGAGTGAAAAGCAAATTTTGATTTTGCCGGATTTTCCCAATGCTAAAAACAACTGCAGTTAAAATTGTTTGCAGCTAAAATAAACATTTACTAGATGTGACAACTAGGCCGACAAAACAAATAATAGGCCGAAACTTTTTTGAACTGGAACAATTCCCGTTTGAAAAAAAAAACGGGTCCTGGTCAGATTCAACCAAGGACTTTTGCCGTCCCAGGCGTAATCGTTACCACCAGGCTAAACGTGCAAGAGACACTTTAAATTTTGAAATCATTATGAACCAAGGTTCCACCAGTTCAATGAGTCCTGTGGACAAAGTTGTTTACGGGAAAAAAGTCTAGTACCCAATTGGAATACCCTTGCCATCGCAAGGGTAAGGAAATACGATGACGTGATTTTCATAGTAATGTCCCCAATCGTTTTTGTTGTATTTCAATACCTATCTCAATTGTCAGTCGATGTTTAAACTGCAACGTCCAAAATTGTGAAAACATTTTTGCGATTCACATGTTAGAACGTATCTGACCTTCAGAAAAAAATAGGAAACTTGTTAAGGGATTTCTGAAAATTTTCAATTTTGCACAACGTCGGGTCACTGCAAGAATTTAGTATCGGAATATTTTATACAGGGTTTTAAATTGCTCGATTGGACATGCATGTTGGTATTTATAGCTTCTGGATTGTCAATACTTTAATTTACTTTCCAAAAATTCAACACTTAGTTATCATTACCCGCAACACAGTACCCGCAGCAAAAGTAAACGACCGTTATCATTAACTAAAAATATAAAGCTTTCGTTTTAGCGGGCGGCGATGGTCATCAGCAGTACCCGGGCCAGCAGCCTCAGGGGTACGCTTACACGTACCAGCCATCAGGGGTAGCACAACCCCCTCCCCCACCCCAACCAACCCAGTACCCGCAGCAAAACTACGGCAACAACTTTCAAGGTGAGCAGACAGGCTTGCTATCAAATATAAGAGCAACACAACGGGTTTTCAAATTATAACTCCTCCGCATGTTATAAACAAATTATGACACCAAAAGGTACATGTTGTACTTTGATGTCTAATTCAGCGTTAAAATGCGACACAGTTAAATTTACGTCAAAGAGGCCATTTTCAATTCTCGTCCCTTGTTGCTCCAGCAACTTATGGACCCCGAAAACAAATTACTAACTTTCTGATAGGGATATACAGTGCTGATTTAAATTATACTGACAAAACGAATAGTATTTGAAACTTAGAACGCATTTTTCTCAAATTTGGTTGACTTAAGACAACAATTGATGAAGACATTACTTGCTTAGATATTTAGCAATTTATTTTGCGAAATTGACGTCCAAAACTTAGCCCCCAAAATGACCGTTTTCGGCTTTTTTAGTCAATCAAAAATTACACCAAACCTATTGGTTCAATTGCTGACTAAAAGTATATCAAAATGAGCCTCTTATGAAGCCCAACAAAATTTGAGAAATAAATAATCGTCTCAGCTGCGCTATATAAGTGACTGACTTTGAAATATTTTTGCCAGTAATTGAACCATCAGTTTGGAAGTATTTTTTGATTGACTAAAAAAACCGATAATGGTCGTTTTTGGCGTTTAATTTTGAACCCGAATTTCGCAAAATCAATTGCACTAAGTTAATACTTCAGAAATTTTAAGCAAGTTTTGTCTTCATCACTTTTTGTTTAAAGTCACACTAATTTCAGAAAAACGCGTTTTAAATTTCAAGTTCATTCGTTTTCTCCGGATAATTTAAATCATCTCTATAGTCTTGTCACGAAATTGAAGGCATCAATGCGGAAGGGAACTTCAAAGCTGTTCCAAACAGCACAATCTAAACTTTCTTATCAAAACAGCTAGGATGAATTCGGAGACATATTACACAGGTGAAGCTGCACATCGCAAACACAAAAACACCAAATAGTAAAATGAGTTAAAAAGAGTAAGAAAATACAAAAAAGTTTATTCAAATTAGTGTCGTTTTTTGCGGTTGTGTGATAAAAAGATCTGAACGAAAAAAAATAGAATTTAGGCATATTCGACAGTTATAGTAATACAGGCTCATTGGAAAAAAGTTTTTTTTAGAGAAATTAAATAAATAACGACAAAAATCGTAAAAATTTTTGCAGAAATTTTTAGAGTATATGAAGTTTTGATTCCTAAATTGGCATTGAAAAACTCCAAAAACTAACTTTACTCGAGCAAAAATATTTTTCACGGCTTAAATTGAGCCTAAATAAGCTATTGTAGGCCCGTTTTTTTTTTTACAAGTTACGTAAGTAACAACTTATATTATTCCAAAGCACAAGCCAAAAATCGGCTAAATGAGCTTTAAAAAGCCAGAAAATTCCTCTAATATGCCTTGAAAGTGAAAATACGAATAAGAAAAGAAAATTTCGGCGATGCGGAATGCGAACCTAAGAACCTCAGATTAATCGTGACTTGCCTGAAAATTGCAGTTTAACCGGCGTGTACCATAACTACCAGCAGAAATGAAGGCGCTTTAAATAGGCGTATATCGCTCATGTTACTAAGAATTGCCTATTTACATCAAGCAAAGAATCGTATTTCGGTTTTCGAACTGATAAAAATGATTATTTGAAATCATTTCTACTCTGTTGCTTTTCTGTTTCAGGAAACCAAGGACCCCCTCCTCAGCAACAGGGAGGATATCCCCCACAACCACCTGTGGTTGTGCCTGTGATTCAGCCTCAACTGGGTAATAAACAGCTCTTATCAACTCTTACCCGTTTCTCCATAACCCTCAAATATTTATTCGTAATGATTTCCTCCCAAATCAAAAGTCATTCAATTTTGATAAAAAATGGTATAAAGACCGTATAATAATTGCGAACGTATTTTGCCATCATAAAAACGTACAAAAATCACTCATCACTACATGAAATTGACTAGTAAGTCTGGTTCTAGGAAACGCTAAAACAATTTCTTTACACAGAGGTGAAGCGGAGCTTCGCAACTCCTGCGATGAGAAAAAAATATTTCTGAAAAAAAAAGAAGTTAAAAAATTTACTAAGAATTTCTGAAAATAAGTTGAAAAAATTACTTGAAAAATGACTTGAACAGTTGAAAAATATACGGCTACAAAGACTTCTTGGTTGTATAAAAGAAGTTTACAAACAGCCTAAAAATGAATTGAAAATCAATAAGCAAGCGTCAACAAATTTTTGGTCGAAACTTGTTTGAGACGAAAACAAAACTGTAGTCAGAAAAAACTTCATTAAGTTTTTAAAAATTTTACGACCCATCCAATCTGAAATAATTAATTGTATGCCCATATACTTGCCCTCACAATAATAAAAGTTGACTGAGCCGATGCAGCATAAACTGAAACTATTTAAATATTTAACAGAAAACGAACTGACAGAAACTAGGACATTTTTTTTTTGAAAAATCAATTACAACCTGAGACAGTCCTACCTAATTGCTACTAAAACTATAGTAGTTGTATTTGTATTTTCAAGAAGTTGAGCATGACAGAGTATGAATGAGTCCAGATATGAAATGAGTCCTGTGAGCTAAGTTGTTCACGGGGAAAAAATCTGGTACCCGATTGCAAAACCCTCGCTTATCGCAAGGGTATAGACATAACTTGTGAAAAAAATGAGATTGGGAAAACAAACAATCCAAAAATAATACAAGGATAGCCAAGTGCTGTGCAATAAGCATAGTAGGTTCCAATTACGTTATTTTTATAAGAAAGAATAAAGTTGCAGAAAAAAATGTATAATTTTTCCAACCTTTGAAAACGAAGAGGAACTTTGTAATCGGGCGTGCTTTAGTTTTTTGTTTGCCGCGCTAAATCAGGTACCGCATATAGTCATTGGAATTTTTTGGAACAATTTTTTGCCCGTTTTGTACGTTTGTATTACGGCAAAATATATTTTCATTTATTTTTCTGTCATTATACCAATTTTTATCAAAATTGAACAACTTTTGAATTGAGAGGAAATTATAACGAATAAACATCTGAGGGTTGTGGAGAAACGGGCAAGAACAAAAAGTCGTTTCGAAAACAATCAAAAGATTTCAAAAAACCAATGTCGAGAAAAAATAAATCACAATTTACGAGTTTGGCCTAATTTCGAGCGAATAAAGTGAGTGAGCATTTGTTTTGTTTTTCAAACAATATCAGTTACCAAAAATGGGTCGAGTGATGTATCACATCAAAACTTTTTCAGTCGCGATTCGAAAGACATGAAAAATTTTCAAAAATTTTCCCTGTGTCGAGAAAACGCGTTCCTGAAAGGGTCGGAACGATAGCCAATCATATCAAAAAGCACAAAAACATTTTTAAAAAACTTCAGAAAATTTAAAAGTTTAGTGCGGATAATTTTAGCAAAAGGTCTTTTTAGGCTTCCAGAAGAGCTCTGAAAATTAATTTAGCCGAAAAAAAAAATTTTACGGGAGAAACCGCCCTCATCTCTACATGCGCCCCAATCTGGATTTCAGGGAACGAAATACTACTTACGCTCAGAACTTGGGGAAAAATACTCTAAACACACTAGTAGTTAAAAATGCTTTGAAAACCATTGATAGGGCATTAAGTTTCCCAAGTTTTTGGTGTTTTAGGTTGATGTTTTATCTTTTAAAGAACAAAACAAAAAAAGTTTTTTGGGCTTTTATTTTGTATTCAGAAATAAAAACAATCCGAAAAAATCCTTCGCGAAATAATATACCATTTAAGGCCATTTATGTTTGCCATTAAACGAAGAAACTCACAATTAGAGAAGGACAAAATGGATTGGAATATTTTGTAAAAATTTTACAATACATGAAGCCACAAAATTCCAGGCTTGATCGCATAGTGTTTTTTATTAATCGCTCGAAAAACTGGCTTAAAATTATTCATTTTAAAACTAAAAATTTAATTAGGACCGAACGAATTTGACGATCAGGGTAATCTTATTTTCTACTAATTAAAGGCTTAAATTTGATTCTGATTGAACTGGCGTTTTACTACAGCTCCATGCATCGAAGAAAATAACAATTTTACTTTTTCGGTAACTTAAGGTGACAATTTTACTTTTTCGGTAAGAGTTCAGTAGTCAGCAGAGTAATGATTTTTAAAAATCATTTTCTGGAAAAATTCACTTCATCTAAAAAAAACTACTCCTAGTTGACTTCTCGTTATTTGACAAATTCCTGTCTTAAGTTGAAGTTAGTGTTTAGGCCACAAGAGTTCGGTAATCAGGTGTCCCCACTGTAGTGCACAAGTGTCCACTACTACAGAGTACAGTGTGGGAAGCGGCACCTGGCTGGCATGTCTGGCCATATTCGGAATCGGATTCCTCTTCACCGTCATACTCGTCATTGGATGCTTGTGAGTCATCGTTAACACAGATGTTTTTAGGATCGACCAAGTTTATTATCCAAGCTCTCCAAAAACCTTGAAAAGACCCTAATTTGTCAAAATTTACTACGCAGCAGGCAATATTTTGAAAACATGCTAAAAACAAAAACGACAATTCGGGGTCTTTTTGAAAAACTTTGATAAAAAATTGCTGTTCCCAGGTTTTATATGGTTGGCTGCCCATAACGTAGCAAAAAATAACCAAAAGGGGAACAAAATATAACGAATAGGGAATTTCCTTAACCTAGCCCTAAATCCACTCATGACTAAGATCATTTAAGGGCTGCCAGTCATTTCCGCCCCAAAAAGCAATCAGTTCCGGAAATAACTGCGTTTGAGCGGAAATGACTGGTGTCTTGGGGCTGAATTGTTTGGGGCGCAAATAACTGGTCACGAATTTTAAGATTCTGAAGATATGACTGTTTCAGCTTGTTCTTCGTGTGTTGGGTTCCGTGCGTGGTGGACGAGTGCAAAGACGTCACCCACTCGTGTCCCAACTGCAAAAAAGTCATCGCCAGAAAAGGACCCAGCTACTGCAGGTGAAGAGAAAGAAGGGCCAAAAGAGAGCATCAAATATCTATTCACAATAAGGAAGCAGAGAGATGAACTTAATTAATTCTTGAAACTGTACAGACAGATGGCACCATTCTATGAGTTCCTTACCCTACCCAATATCAAAGTGATACTTCTTGAGTTTAAATGATTAAGAGAAAAAAATTGATGCAGCATATTTTATTCATGTTCACTATGTTTTTCTGGGAACAGTTCTATGGGAGACGCGCAGTGTACAGGCAAAAATATCAGAAATGACCAAAATTTTGCTACAGAACGTTTCATTTTGGTCAAATCAAAAGAAGGAAGTTAGATTGTTAGACAAACTAACTCGATTGGCGGAAGTTATTTTGTGATTAATAATTCAAATAAAAATAACATTAAAAAAATTACGCAGCATTATCCAATAGTCATCTACTCTGTCAAAAAAACTACTGTTCACACCCTTGACCATCAACGAGCTTAGTGTAAATAATTTGCTCTAACAAAAAATATGCACCTTCAAACCTTTCGTTGTTCGAGATCTAGTCATCATAATCAGTACCACCACAAAAGTTGAAGGCGAACCTTAACAAGAATGCTTGTAACAAGGCGGAGCACTGAATGTTTCAACTGCCCTTTAAAGTGTACGATTCAGGTTTCGCGGAAAAATGAGGTATAAAAAACCGTTAAAAATTGGTTAAAGTTTGAAATTGGTCGGAAATAAAAGACACTAACACGAATATCCCATCCTTTCGAATGGAACAAAAGTGACAGAGCGACCCCAGTACAAACCACAAACAACGCACGCTCGAATACGCTTCTTTTGTATCTGTATCACTCAAAGGGTTCATTACGTTATCTATCAAGGTCAAATAGCAGGAAAAAAATATCTTTCAGTTACGAAACAAAAGCGGAAACACCTGAATGGTGCATAAAAGATGCTGAAATTTGGCTGATTCTTTACAACTACATGATAACTTAACATGACTGACTCTTTTAAATAATCTCATCATAACCTATCAAGTTTCGAACTAGCAATCTCCTGATTGTTACAGGAGAATAAGCAGCCAATGATTACCACAACTCCACAGCAACTTTAAAACAAAAAAAATAGGTTTAAAATTGTCAAAAGATTATCGGAACCAATTTTATTGCTAAGTCATTCCAGTTAATTAGTCAAGAATTAGAAAAAATCAAGCAATACAATAATACTAACAAGGATAAACGGTTGCTGTGCAAAGAGTAAAAACTGTTCTGACTGTTTTAAAAAACTATGAGTTAGGCATAAGACATTTGTCTTCAAAAATGAATGGCAACCAATAATTGAAAAAAGTAATAAAAAATAAGTTTCTGTAATTTTTAGCACAATGTCTGTTTGTTTTGGAAAACACGAAGGAAGCAATGAAAAAAACTTCTCAAACTAGTTTTTTTTCTTGTAAAATCAAGTTTTTTAGCCTAAAAGCCTAAATAAAAATTTATTTGTCATATAATTTATTTGCGTGCTCTCAGTTGATTTTTGAGCAAGTAAATGGGTCGACCTTTACATGCTCAAAATTGAACTGAAACTCCAAAATTTTGAACCAATTTTTCTCGCCATTGGGAATTTTTTCAATTTTTAAAGTCAATATATCACTCTATCCATTCCAATGATTATTTATGGCACCTCAGTCTGCGAGAAAAAGCACTGATACACGCCAGAATACAAAACTCCTTCACAGTTTCAATAGCCGGAATAATTAATTGCTATCAAACCAATTTTATCCACTAGTTTGAGTTCAATAAATGATGTTTAACCTAGATTTACTAAAGCATTCTAAGGGCTGCTAAGTTTTTTCAAATCTTCATCTTCTTATGCAGCTTCACAACGAACAAATTGTTTTTAATTACCACTCAACCATTTGTTCCGACCATTAAAAATGATGAGTATTTTTGTATTTGGGTGTTTGGTTTTTTATGAAAGTTGTCGGAAAATTCTGTGCTACTTGCACAGAAACAAGCTATCCTTGTAATTTGCACACTCCTTCTGAAAACCACTAACTATTTCAATTAGAAAGGATGAAAATCATCACATATAGTCAATATGACTACTTCTCAAATACTTTCGGAAAATCATTTCAACGGGATATAGTTAACGCCCCCTCCCCTTTAAGCGTTTCAAGGGATGCTTTTTTGTTTTTAGCTAAGACTTTCAGCCAATCATCATCAAGCATTTTCTACGCAGCGTTAAGCAGTTTTAAATTGAATGATGGGGAAGACCTCAACTTAGTTCTATTTAGGTGAAACTTCAAGCTGATCCTTTCGAATTGATCTACAATTTGTTAAGCTATTGTCATGTAAATGCATAAAGTACAAACAATACGAAACTAGAGGGCGTAGAATAAGAATCTAGCTTTCATGATTCTAGCACAGTTCAACTCGCATCTGCAGATGCTTTCGCCACGTGTTCCTGTAAATTGTGTGCCTTCATATAATGACCTTTCAATTTGCTTTTCTCTTTGAAAGACGAACTGCAACTAGAGCATTTGAAAACAGGCGGATTATCGCTGTGTTTAACCGCTAGATGGCGCAGTATGTTTCCTTTCAGATTTGACTTATAAGCACATAAAGTGCACATAAAAAATTTGTCTCCGTTCACAAAACATTCTGCAAAATGGTCATTCTGTTCAAAAAGGCTTCTGTCTGAAATCTTTTTAGCGTTTGATGGTGCATTCAAAGTTGTTGGCTGACTTAAACGCTTCGATTGTGATGGAAAATGCTTTGCCGGCGAAACTATAGGTCGTTTTCTGGCTTCATTTTTTAATGAAGTAGTATTGATTTCCAGAGTCTGCAAAGGATGATCTCGGGTATTGTGCCATTCTGGCACTTCTATCACTGTCATGATTCCAGAGAGATTATCACTTAATGTACTTTCATTTGAAAGAAAAGGTTTCAGTTCGAATTTGCAGATGTTTTCAGGGGCACAAATTAGAGGCTGCAATAGTTGTTCAGGTAAATGAACCTCGAATACCAATGCGCTGGTAGATATCATTTCAAAATGAACTGAAATACGTTAATTCGTTGAAATGTTCTCGGATTAATTTAAGTTTTGGTTTAACGGTGCGCAAAACTTAAGAAAGATGGTGAATCATAGTCGGATCATGCCGAAATGTTGCATCGATCTAAATTTTAAAATTTATATCTTAAATCAGCCATTTCAGAAACTCTTAACTAAATGAAAAAATTTAAAGAGTTTGGTCAACCATGCTACCACTCGGTTGACCAAATTGGTAACAAGGTTCAAAGTTAAAGTCTACAATGTTCTCAAAACAAAGAGGTCTAACAAACGGCTCAAAACAAAGAAGTCTAACAAAAAAAGTCTCAAAACAAACGGCTTAGAGTCTACTGCCTTGATTTTTTCCATAAACTTCTCTAGATTCAACTTGCGTCTGCTGCCGCTTTCGCAACGTTTTCCTGAAATTTGTGCGCCTTCATATAATGACTTTTCAATTTATTTTTCTCAGTAAACGACGAGCCGCAACTTGAGCATTTGAAGACAGGCGGGTTATCGCTATGTTTAACCGCTAAATGTCGAGTTATGTTATCTTTTCTATTTGATTTATAAGCACACGAAGTGCACATGAAAAATTTATCTCCGTCAAGGAAACATTCTGCAAATTGGGCACTCGATTGAAAGGGACTAAGATTTGATTTGTTTTGAACCTTTGGAGGCAATTTCAAATTATTTACAGGAAGGTTCGGACGTTTTTGCAGAATTGTATTTTGCTTTAGCGACGAAGTGTTCGATCTTTTTCTCGAAATTTCACTAGTTAGTGCCGATATGATGTTTCTTTGATTCGGCGAAGTAGGAATTCGACTAGTGTTTGAGTCTGATACAGGAGTTATAGTCATCATTCCAGAGAGATTATCATCTGATGTTGTATCCTTTGGTAGAATGGGCTTCAATTCAAACTGGTAGTTGCTTTGAGAATTCAAAAGTAATGGTTTCAAAAAGCATTCAGGCAAATTAACTTCAAACGCGAACAAATCCATAGAGATCGTTTCAAATAGACCTGAAAGAAGCCCAGTTTTTGCAACTAACTTACTTAAGTATAACCTAAAAACTTAACTGATGATTGAATAAAAAAAGAAACTTAAGAATAAAAAAAACTTGACGGTAAACCCTCAAAAAACGTGATCTGTAAAAGCAATTTGTAAATTTTGGCAAAAATGTAAATAATTTAATAAACTCAAAATCTAACTATTGCTGAGGGCGGCATAAATAATCTACAAACTTTGTGAAAACTTAGAAGAGTTCTAAAGTAATATCAAAATTTTAAACAGGGCAAAATTTGAGCGGATAGGGTCCAAAACATCGAATAATTTTCTAAAGGCCAAGTTTTCAGTATAATTTAATATGATGTAACATATGTGCGGTAGGTATGATCGAAATTTTCCCCCTTGCACCGACAACATAATCTTCCCTAGGAATACTAGCTGATCAACTCTATAAACTATTTAGCTGTCATTAGCAGCAGCAAATGCTACAGTTTCAGACAAGTTGTGCTTCTTCATGTAATGCATTTTGAGCTCACTTCGCGCAGGGAACGCCACTCCACACGTCTGACATTTGAAGCTGTGTTCCATGTGGTATTTTTTAACATGGCGCTTCATGTTGCTCTTGTCCTTGGTTCTGTACGTGCATGCTGCACACATAAAAACCCTGTAGAAAACACAATCAGTTATGAATTGTGAGAAATATCACAAGTTACGCCCAAATAAAGAAACAGAAGGTTAACACATAGAAGTTTGACACTTGCGATACAACAATCATAAAAAAGCATAAGTCGGAATAAATTCGAAATGTTTAAAAAAAAACTAGGTGAACCAATATTTCGTATGTCTCGATGAAGGAGACCTAGGGCCCAGCTAAAACTGGAGGCACATGTTTGATATTTTTTGAATTTTGTATAATGATGCGGGACAAAACGCGTAATTTCAAAAATTGGACTTTGCCCAAAACTTTAGTTGTTACTCTAAGAACATAAGTGAGAAAGAAATTTTTTGAGATTTTGGAATGTTCTCAAAAACATATTTTTTTTCACAAAAAATTAAGGAGTGGCGAAGGAAAAATTCGCACAACCGCTTCTTTCGATTGAAATTTTCATCTCAGCTTTGATAGGGTTTTTTTAAAAGAAAATTCATAAGTTTCTAAAAAACGGTCAAAGTTCAAAA